AGAATAACATTCTATAGCAGCATTTTCTAATATATATTTATATTATGATATAAAATAATATGTCAGCAGTAGCGTTTTTGTTATGTTTTTACACTGGGCTTAGAAGGTTAAAACCACCCAATTTACCTAAGCTTTAAAAATAAAATAATGAACTAGGCTGGTCATGTTAAAAATAGGATATGTATATAAGAAGCTTAGAATATGAATTAGGTAATATTTATGCAATATATTATAGTATAATATGTAACAAATATTAGATAATATTAAGCAGGGATGTGCAATTTGACCGATCAAATATAATTCGGTCAATTGACTTATATTTAAAAGCTCAAATATGGTTAAATACGGTCAATCAAGTTGCTTTTCAAGACAATATTAGCTTTATTTTATATATAATAATAAAAAATGAATATATATATAATATTAAATTATATATTTTTTTAAAATTCTATAATTAATGTTTCGCTCTCCGTGGCAGTCTTGTTCTGCAATCGATTTCTTATCTTCGTAAGAATATTCACCCAAACAGACCAATTTCACTCTGAAAATAAGTATAACTAGGAATTGTTAGTAAGATATTAGACACTTCTCTTAATATTCAAGGCGGGCAAAGCATTTTCCAACCATTTGAGGGCGAAATCTGATTGTTTATTATAAAAGATATTGCTTTCTACATATTTTGACTTAAATATACCACCACTTTTACTTCTAAAATTTATGATATCACTTAAAAAACTTTGATTATTATCACCTTGTAAAATGCCTAATTTAGGTATTATCATGCTTTATCAAACTCATTACTAGTAAGATACACTCTTATATTGGGGACTCAATAAATAATCAGCAGTTTAAGCACATGTATTTGAATTGTTTTTCCTTTTTCAGCATCTTTAATTTTTTTTTTCTTCAGGTGGAGAAATTATAATATAAAGCATGATTGAAAATTTTATTTTCGAATAATTATTGGTAATTTCCTTCGGATAAATTTAATTTCTTCAAAAGCTACTTTCAGAGCTTTCCTGCATATTTGTATTTATTCCTTACATTTTAATGACGATGCCCATTGCTTGGATAATTGTTCATAGTAATATAAATTGGCAATCAGTAATTTTCTCAAACCATGCTTTAGCAAAATTAGTATATTTAATTATATATTGAAATCCAATTAAATTAATAATGAGAAAAATTCTTTTATTTTTATTATTTTAAATAGAAATTGTAATATTTTAATATGAAAATTTTATATTTTAATATGAAAATTTTATATTTTAATATAAAATTATAAATAAATCGTTGATGATGCAAATATATTTTATAATAAATGTATCCTAATTAGATTGATAAATATGCAATAAATTAGTTAATTAAATCAATATATTTATTTACCAATAATATTTTAGAGTATTTAACCGTAAATATTCTTTATATCAATGGTCGCCAGTCATTTGACCGATTTGCCAACCCTGATATTAAACATGACTTATGGAAATACGTTCTTTTAAAATTATAATTCATCATTAAATGCATAGAAAATAGAATTTGATATCTCTATAATCTAATTTTGATGGCCCAGGCTGCCACGCCTAGTGTTGTTAAACGGCTCGTTTTGAGCCGTTTTTTAAAAACGGCTAACTCAATATTTTAGACAGAAAAATATTACCTAAGCCTCGAGATTTCTCTAATGGATGTCCAAAACCTTTGTTTCTTCTGCAAACAAAATCTTCTAGCTTGCGTGATAGTATTCTGGATGGAATATTGAGTTAGCCGTTTTTAAAATTCGGCTCAAAACGAGCCGTTTAACAACACTAGCCACGCCCATACTTCCTCAAATCTGGAGATGGCTGACCTTCATTGTGCTGGCTGTGTGAATAATTTGAATTTGAATAAAATAAAATAAATAGAAATGCATTTTTATAAAATAAACGAAGAAAGAATACAATGAACATAATACTAAGAATCTATAAAAAAAAATTAAAACATAATAATTAATTTATTTTGCATAAATTATTTTAGAAATAGGACTCTACCTTAATTTGAATTAAATTTTTTGAAGGTTAAAATGTTTATATGAAGTTTTCTTTAATCGAATACTAATTATTAAATCTATTAAAAAAATATTTAATTATGTTTAAATTTAAATTATAAGAAAATATTTTTTCATTTTCATTTTATATGAATTACAAAAAGAAAAGCGGCAACTTATCCCCTTAGCTATAGAAAAGCTTCTAAAAGGTTTATCCCCTTAGCTGTAGAAAACTTAATATAATTGAATTTATTCTATGCAACTTTTAAAAAAATATTTAAAAAAAATAAATATATATTTATAACGCCTCATTTTTTAAACAAATAAAACTGAATAATTAATTATAATTTAATTTTTAATAAGAAAATAGTATTCTGAACATTTGACATATATCTTTTTTACATTGCATAATTCCAATATATTTTTAGATCTTACTCGATAAATTAAAAAATTTATTTTATAAATCTTATAAATATTCATTTTTACATATAATCTAAAAAACGATATTTAGAAGAGAGCAATTAGGTCTATATAACCAAAAAGTGGGATATTTCCCAACCCACCAGAAATTTGCCTGTTCTTGTAAATATCATTTTAAGCTAATACTCCCCCCCCCCCACACACTAGCTCCCCAAAAAATGTATACAATATATCACTATAAACAATAATTTGCAAGAAAATTAGTAAAAAAATTTTTTAGAATAACGACTATAATTAAACATTTTTTAAAATGATAGGAAGCTCCAAAATAATTTTAATAAAAATATAACAGACGAAGGTCTACAATAGTTGGACCTAAAGACCTGCAATAAAATTTATGGCGAAACCCCCGCCTAATCGTGCTTTCCCATATAGAAAAATCCTGGAAACGCTTATGATCAGGACAATTCAGTCAGCGGAATCCCCAACATCATTTAGGAATTCCAAAGAGTCAATTTATTTGATCACTGCTTAAATAGGAAATATTTTAGTGATGTTTTTAATTTAGGTATTCTTAAGCAATCTTGCCCTAGCGACGACATTGAATATATTTAGATTATATCATAAACTATATAACTCACAATTAAAAGAATAATGTCTACGCAGAGGACAAAATTTTAGGAAGTCATGGATTCAATTTATTTTTTTAAGCCCTTCTTGAATTTTTATGCGAGGCCCGGACTTTTTAATCAATTTATGGCTTGGCCCGGATTGCTGTGTGAGAGTCCGGGATACAGCCGACAGGATTTTGGGAAAACTCTCATAAAATCGGTAAATACAAATGAAAAAAATTGTTAGTTATTTTAAACAGTAGCTAACTAAATCATGCATTGAATATATGTAGAATTTTAAAATTAATTTCAATTTTTTGAGTCAAAAAATATAGGGCACATTGGATTGCATATCGGGGCAAGTAAGACCACTACATGAACTACATAAGATCAATAATAAAAAAATAATTTTTTTTACACCTAAGATTATAGAAAACTTTATTATTTCAAAGATTATAATAAATAAGACTTATAAAAAGTTATCATTTATTACAATGAAGTCATATAATAAATTGATAATCATAAGCTAATGGATGACTGAGTTCATCCTTTACATATTCTTTATTCTAAATATTCTTCAGGTTGATGCTTACGCTTATAATATTTTTCCCAAGTGATATAATAATCTTCATAAAAAATGGTATAACAACTTTATTTTTGCAAACATTTTTTTTCTTAGAAACTTCACGCAGTTTTTTACCTATCTGACGTGGTTTTCTAAGGCCTAAAACGTTTTTTAATTTTTATTTATATGGCGATCTCTTATATATTTTAGATTTTTTCGCTTATCCTGATTTAATCCTACAACATATCATCTTTGTTGTATCTAGTCTAAATATAGCATAAATGTTATATATGCATTTTATATGAATATATTTTTATTTAAAAAATTAGAAAATATCCATAAATTAATATAGTATTGGACATGGAAAAAATGTAAGAACTCTAATAACAAGGATGAAACAAAGAGTGCCCAAATAAATTATATAAAATTACATTGTATTATAAATTAATTCTATCTATTAAAATGTATCGCCGAGTGGCTAATTTATTAAGCGGCGGCTATTCTGTTAATTGACAATCTCCGACAAAAAATAAAAAGAAACCGTAGCCGTTCATATCTCGGCTAAATGGTCTATTAATAATATATAAATTATTTTGCTTAATATTACAGAAATTATTATGCTTAATAATACAGAAATTATTATGCTTAATAATACAGAAATTATGCTTAATATTACATGGATTTTGATAAATATTAGATTTAGTCATTTACAAACTATATATATTTTTCTATGATATATTGGGTATGTTATTTATATTATAGTCTGCCTATTCAGCCATAAAAATGACGAAAGATGATCAAAATATGCAATTTCCGCTTTAATCGATATAAGCAATTTATGATCTGAATGAGTAAAAGTATTTTAGCCCTCTACCCCCCACCCCAGTGCTCTTTAAGGAAAAAATTCTAGTTACGGCCCTGCCATGCACATAGTTCTAATTGATAGTGAGAGACCGAGATTATATGTCTGATGTTTTCTTTTTTGCGAAAAATTTTTATTTTTATTAAAAATTAAACTAATTGTATCATTGGATAGCCACATCATTAGACTACAAAATAAAAGAAAACAGAGCTTTCAACCTTTTATTATGCGTTATCTAGGATTAAATAATAGTCATGTTTTACAACCCTGGGTAAGATGGCAAGTAAAATATTTAACCTATAAAACACAATTTTTTATGCTTATAAATAATACACAATTAAAAAAAATTTGGAATATTTAAAAAACATATTTTATTTCAATTTATTAATTATTTAACTATTCAATTAATAGAAAGACTTAGTATAAAGTCATAAAGGATTATAAAATAAGTTATAATTTTCACAATTATTGGAAAAAAAATATAATATTAGTAGATCACAATTATATAAAGTCATTAATTTTTGCTGTCTTTTATTGATTGAGATCCAAGTTCCCTTTTAGCGTCAACGTTATAATTGGGAGCAAAATAGCCTAAATCTATCCTATGCATAGGATGTTCAATTAGGGGGTTTCGGTATTGATAGTATAAAACTGAGATAGTTGCATTTTATTATGTTTAGGGCTAACCTTTGACGTAAGTAGAATCCCTCGTTGGGATCCTCGGTCCTAACAGAGATCCGTTTTCCCAGCTCCCAGGATATGAGAGCCGAACGATGTTAGAGTTGTAGCGTAATGGTAAGAATGTATAGTTGGCAGAAAGCGATGGCGAATATTTAGCGAGTTTATTCGTCTATGCGTCTAGTAGAGCATCTCTATTTATATTGGAAGGGGCAAGAGGATCGATGCATGAGAATCCCGGGTTAGGAATTCCTCCTTCTTCCAAGGGATCATGGCAGAACCATCAGATTATCTTTACAATAAAGATACACATAAAATAGATAATTACTAGCACAAATACGATAAGCCTCATTCAGGACAAGAGTTTATTATTTGAAATCTTCGCACTTTTCATTGAATAACTATACATCTCTAAAAATGTTACCCTCTTCCCCAATAATTATATTTTTTAATTTAACCCTTAAATATTTTTAGCAAATATAGGAAATTTAATTTTATCCATTAAAATTAGAGAAAAACCTACCCTACCCTCCTTCCACACCTATTTCCTCCTTTCCCTTCAATCCTTATTGTATTTCAAAGACAACCTCACACTATACACCCCCCCCCTCTGTTTTAGAAATACCTGCTATCATTATTAGATAGTGTCGCCTATAGAGTCATCAGCTGTTCTGAAAGTTAGATCCGCATTTTGTGTATCACCTGGAATAACGTCATTCGAAATGGTTTGATCTCTAGAACTATCATTACTAAATAATTGGTAAAAATGATAGAATTTAATGGGTAGAAATATTTTGTGGAGTTGTTGCCCTGGGAAACTATTGCTTCACAAATTTGCCATCCACCTCTTGCCTTATAGCCTAATAATATAGTGAGCTAGCTTAAATGATATAAGCTAGAAAGTCCGGACCAAATTTATTTGGTAGTTTAGACATTTAGAAATATATCCTATAATTTAACAACAATTAAAGGAGTAGATTTGTGCCAGGAACCAAATAAAAAGGTTGGCAAAAAGGCTTAAGTTTCTGATCAATATTTTTTTGATGCGGAGTTTCCATTAGCATATAATAGATAATATGTATAGAAATAAATCTTCCAAATTTGAAAAAAATAGCTCTAAAGATAAAAAGGTGTTTGCCTTTTTACTCCACCTGCCGTATAATCTCGGTTTACTTAGAATTATATAAAATATAATTTAAATTTACTTCCACTATATAAAACTTGACGAATTGTTTAATCAATAATAGCGCGGGGCATCTTCTGCTGTAGTTGCTTTAAATGTCAATCTACTTATGCCAATTTGATTGTTACACGATCTCACTTTAAAATTAATATCGATATAAATATCCATTTCAAGTATAGACAGTACCATAGCGCAAAAATAATCTGGATTGCGCTCCCCGTAATAAATCCGACCTTTCAATAGGTCTAGTTATGTTTTTAAAGTCAATAGGATTGAACCTTTGACTTTCACTTCTTTGGAGCGTATTGCCACTGGATCTCTAACAATAACAAACATTGCTTAACATATTATTAATATTTACTCTTGGATAAACCGAGTTTAATATATTTTATTTTTTCAACAATAGAATGACTTTTATTTTTTATATAATTTTTTTTTGTAGCATATTTTTTTTATATATAAGTTTAAATATTGACCTTGGATCAATTCATATTTCATAATGATATTCATTTGTTGATTTAATATATTAAAATTACTATCGATAAATTTTTTAATGACGGTGAATAAAAATATGGTTAATTGTAAATAATTAGATGTGCCATCTTTTTCCTCTAAAAAAATATGTATGCATTTAAAAAAACGGAAACATGCAGAACAATACGGTGATTTAAATATAGCTCAATTTAAGTCATATTTATGTCAAATTTTTATTTTTTAAAGTATCAAAATGTGATAATTTTGCTTTTATAAATAATAAATAATTTCAAAAACTTCAAGGAAAGACCCACCTACAAGAAAAAACTTAAGGGAAAAAGTACAAAAAAATATATTTCGTCTTTGACCGTATATAAAATTGGATTGCTATTTCATTATTACTGACTACTAGGGCCTTCCAAACCTCGTGAGTCACTGCAGCAGGAAACACTACAAAGGAACTTGGTGGGACAAAGGGAAACTCACCACAAAGGAACTTGGTGGAACAACTATCACATATGAGAATCATTTCATAAATAACTTGTTTAATTTTTTGTGAATTTATTATATTATAATTATTTATAGACAGCATTTTAGAAAGCTTTTAAAATATAAATAAATAAGCATATTGTAATTTGAAATTTAAAAAAAAATATAAATAATTTTAATAATTTATCGAACTTTTATAATATAAGGAGTAATGGAAATAATAAATTTTCTGGAAAGAAAACATTTAGCGATATTAAAATTATATAATGGAATAATCATAATTTTATTTACTGAGAAATAGACCTATTCAAATAATAATCGAATAATTTACTATTCGTATTACAAATAATACAATTTACTATTTATATTTGATTTGAATCGATTGATATCTATCTTGATCATTTATATCTTCATTAAAAAAAGAAAAAACAATTTTTAAAATATAAGGGGTTGCACTCACAGCATACGAATAATTCATTTTTAAAACAATATATTAAGAAAATTTTATTTTAAACAAATCTGTATAATAATCTGATGACAAAGAATATGCGATGAAGTTATTAACATAATTAAAATACATGAGAGATCATTCAACCCCGACTTTTGGTCCGTTAGGAATTTGCACCATTTTCCCGTCCCCTTCAAATTTTACGAAAATTCGGGCCTGGCCGGTTAAATGCTAACAAAAGTAGGTCCTGGCTCGTTAAATTTTATGTACGAATTTTCCGGCTATCACATTTACATTATTTATATTTAGACATGTGCGCCGCGGGTCAAATGCGCCGCCGCCGGTGATTTTGACCACGCCGACGCCGCGGGCCAAAAAATTGTAGGCTTTCAACACGCCGCCGCAGATGTAAAAAATCGGCGGTGTGGCGGCGTGATACATATTTTTTATTATTAATTTATTTTATATATTATTTATGAATTGTAATTATAGGAAAAATATTAAATAATTTTTGAATTATTAAAAAATGCGATTTTATTTTTTTAAAATTTATAAATATTATTTGCTATAAATTTGATTTGTAACAATCCATATAATGCACGTTGGCTCACTTTGGGCAGGTCTGTGACCAACTTGCTAGATAAGATAAGATTAGGATAGTAAAACAGAAAAGGTATTGATATTAATATATATTTTATTATTTTAATCTTAATTTTTATTTTAACTGTTAAGATATTTAATTATTTTATAACATCCCACATTTAGAATTTTTTATGGCATAATATTTTTATTATTAACTTTTTATTATGTAGAAATATGGCATTATTTCAGATACAAAAGATTTACCAGATAAAACAACACTTAGCCGGAGTGGATTAGATGATGTGTATTTATCAATGAAAGCATACATATGTCAACATTTTGTGCTATAACTTTTGATATGTGGACCGACAAATATAGACGGCGAAATTATATTACCTTTAAATTTCACGAAATAGATAATAATTTTAATATTGTATTTTATACATTGGCGACACATCATGTCACTCAAAAACATACCGCTGAAACTATTCTTTCCGAGATAGAAAAAGTTAAAAATGAATTTGATTTAGGGTCCAAGAAAATTCAAATGGTTACGGATGCAGGACCCAATGTAAAGAAAAGTGTTCGTCTAGGAGAATATGACCATCATTTATTAAGGGCATGGATTACATAATCTAGTGACAGTCGATGGAATAAAAAAAGTTAATAAAATAGAAAATCTCATTAATAAAGTGAGAGAAGTTATAGTTGCCTTAAGATTCAAAACAGCGGATTTTGAAATATAAACGATATAGATAATAGAAAATGTTCTGAATCGATATCATATACATCGGATATTTTAGATTTGGATGATAATGATCCTTTTTATGAAGATCGTTTGGGGTTTGATGATGATAGTGAAAATCAAAAATCATATGAGAAAAAACATAAAACCTTAAAATTAAATGTGCCTACACGTTGACATAGTATTTTAATAATGGAAAGTGTGACTGGCAATAACAAAAATCCTATAAATATTCTATTAAATAGAATGGAGAAACCGGATCTCAAGTTATTTAACTCCGATTGGGACTTGGTGCATGAACTTTTAAATTTTCTTAAAACCTTCAAAAAAACTGTTGAATTTTTATTTGTCCAAAAAGGAGTTACTATAAATTTAGCCTTATTATTTCGTAGTGAATTTAAAAATCATTTAATTGTAAAAGAATATGATAGTCCTCCCATAGCATCCATTAAACAAAATATGCTTACTAAATTTGATCATAGATTTCCAATAACCGATATTCAGGTAGTATTTTAAAATACATAAATTATTTTATTTTTATATATTATTTCTCTTTCTTTTATTTTTTTACTTAGGTGTTTGTTAGGAGCACTTTTGGATCCTCGTTTTCAATCAATAAACATAATAAATGAATATTTAAAGGAAAAAATATTACTCCGGTTGAATTTTTATGTCAACACGCTACCTCTCTACGGTCTTACACGGACGAATTAAACGAATGTGAAACGACGGAAGTTGCTTGAAAACTCGATTATCTTAAGTCATTGGCTACAAAACATTCATCTATTCAAAACAATAGCCTGGAACAACAACACTATTTAACTAGTTTAGAAAAAGAATGTTATTCATTATTATCGCCTTATAATTTGATAAAAGATGTCTTCGATTTTGGAAGATAAGAGCATTGGATCTTCCTAAACTTTCAATATTAGCTAGAAAGGTACTGTGCGTTCCAGCTACGACACACCCAGCGAGCGTGTATTTTTTATAGCTGGGCTCACTCTGAACTCTTAAAGATCATTATTATGTCCTTTAAATCTTAATAAAATAATATTTATTCATGATAATTATAACTTAATAAAATCATTAAATTAAAGTTATAAACATAATACAGTATAAATTTTATTTTAAAAGTGTTTCCAATGATAAATTTAATTAAAAAATTTAAGTTAGAAAAATATTTGACGCCGCCGCGCTGCCGCCGATTTTTGTGGCAGCGTCAAAATCGATTCGCCGCCGCCAGCCGATCATTTTTTAAAAAAAGAAACGGCGCCGCCGAAAATGCTGTCGGCGCACATGTCTATTTATATCTAATTTTTTTCATAATGTTAATTAAGACTCTTATCTCCTCTATGGAAATCTGTTTCTACAACAACCGTTTTATGAATCAATTATGTTTGATATCTGTATTGTGTATTTGTAATGGGATCATATGACAAGTAACTTGTTAATTTTGTTGATTTACTATTTTATTTATAGATTTAGTATTTTAGTTAGATATCTCTTAAAATACAAAGAGATAAACATATCATAATTTTTTTCAAATAGTATTGATCAAATCAAAATATACGCTCGAAATTCAAAAAATATGTCAATTATTAACCGGACTGGCCTATTAAAGTTCTATGAATATCTAACCTACTCTCAACAATTCTGCCACTATTTTCTTTATTAAATTATTTCTCCTTATTCTGCATCATATTTCCAATCAACTTTTCCCTCTTCTCTTACATAAGATCTCATCTTCAACTCTACCCCAAACTACTCCTTAGACCTCTAATAAAACGTTGTCCCGTGGTTTTAAAATGAAAATAACTAAACCTAGTCTTTTCTTCAAAGGCATCGTATGTCCTGAATGTGGAAAGGGTCTTTCTCCTCTTTTCTAACAAACACTTTCTATCTTTCCCACTCACAGGGGCGCTCCTACCTCATCCAATAACGCTCAAATATATATATATTAGAGACCTGCAGAGGTACCATTTGCACGGTATGGCCCGGTCCGGATTAAAAAAATTTCGGCCCGGCCCGGGTTTAAAAATTTTAGGCCCGGCCCTGCCCGCATATTTAAAAAAAGTTTTGGGAAGCCCGGCCCGGCCTGGCCTGGATTTTTTAGGCTCGGAATTTTTTAAAATTATATTCGACTTGGTATATACAAAAAATTCGTCTATTTGGTATTTTATCATATTTTCGGCGAGTATTATCATTTAATAAGCAAGCATATTAGCTAATGTTGTTAAACGACTCGTTTTGAGCCGATTTTTAAAAACGACTAACTCAATATTTTCGCCAGAAAAATATTGACTAAGCCTCGAAATTTATAAATTATATGTCTAGACCTTTGCTCCTTCCATGAGCAAAATTTTCAGGCTTGCATAATATTTTTCTGGATAAAAAACTGAGTTGGCCTTTTTAAAAATCGGCTCAAAACGAGCCGTTTAACAACACTACTATTTTTTTTTATTCTAAACAGATATTTAGTATATTACAAATTGATACTATAAAAAATTTGTGTAAATAATATTTTTAAAATATACTATTTTAATTTTATTTATAAAAAAAATAAAACTGATATTTTAATTAATAAAAAATATAACATATATTATATAATAATGTATTTAATCCTTTGCGTATTTATTCCATGGCAGGAAAACTATAATTATATTATGTAATAGATACTATGAGTGTTAGCTAGTGTTAACTTTCACCCAACATTATATTAATCATAACTATATATAATCATTATAACCATATCTAATTGACGAATTCATGCTGTATAAATTTTTTTAAATAATATGGCCCGGGCTGGGTATTTAAAAAAAATTATTTTCAGGCCCGGCCCGAGTTTTTAAAAAAAAATATTTTCAGGCCCGACCCGGGTATATTTTAAAAATTTAAAATACGGCCCGGCCCGGGCTGGCCGGGCTTAGGGCCGGGCCTGCAGGTCTCTGATATATATATATACCTACTTCATCAAATACACCAGATACATTTATGCCCTTCTCTCCTACCTCTCATGAAAACATCATCAATTCCTATAATCTGACAAATCTCACATTATCTCAAGAATTCTTGAAGGTTCCAAAGTGAAAATAACCAAAGCCCTCTCTACCTGCCTACAATCTTAAATAAAGGCCTCTATATATTATTGGCTCAAACTTTTCCCACTTCTTCACTACCATCCAACTCCCAACCCATAGATTCCGAAATTTTTATCCCAAAATACAAGGATGTTCTACTTTAACTTCAAAAAAATTAGGATAACTTATATCCAAATAAAATATCCGCCCTCCGTTTACTTGCACCTAAAGGTGCAAAAGAAACGACGTATTACAATTGACTAAAATTAAAGCACTCTCCTGGAGGTGTAAAGCACTCTCCTGGAGGTGACTTCCTAATGCCTCCGACACCTAAAACATTTCCAATGGATTTCACTCCACCCAAGATGCATAAGAGTATCTTATCCTTTCACCACGACTTTCGCCAGGCTATGATGAGCTCCGTTCTATCTTCTTTCAGGACCTCACATCTCTCAAAGTCCAATCCTGTAAAATTGGACAACATTTTGGAAAATTTCTCACGATGGGCTCGTTCCAGATTAGATTAGACTCCTCCTATTTGGTGTTAAATAAATAACACTCTAAAAGGCAAATAAGGTTCGATCAATCGTAATTCATAACATATTTCGTAGTATTGTTGCAAAACTATATCTTCAAAAATTAAGGACTCTACAGCCACTAATCACCCTAACAACCTGATAACCAAATCGAAGAAGGAGATTGCAAAATAGCCCACACACGCTACTCACATCCATATCCATAGCAATTCTAGTATAAAATCCTCGTAATCGACGTTTTAAGGATTTCAATTCTATTTGCCGCTCTCATTTTTATCCATATACCATTCATTTCCCACTCTTTCTCAATTTTTCCACTTCTATTGTTTCTCGTCTTCTTCTCTACAATTTAATTAGTATCTAGAAGGATCGTGCAAAGCGATCCCTCAGGTTAGATGCTTTTTTGTATAGGCATCAATAAAATGGTTGAAAACGTTTTACCGACTTTGATTTCCCTTGAGTAATTGGTACATAGATTATGGAATACTCTTCAGCCTCAAACCAGGTCTCAAAGGCATCCACTATGAAATTCCACACCCAAATAATAGGACTTTCTCTCAACGAGCAGAAAACTGAGGTCTGCCAAATTTGCTGCTATTTAATTTGATACAGCCGAATTCGAGTCCCTAACCCATTTCGGCTCCCAGTTTGTGGTTTAGAAATCATCAATAACTTCTCTAATTCTTTATCTTCCTTACTTTTATTTAAAAACATCTCCAAACATATTTTTCCTCATCAAACTTTTCTTTTCCTTCTTAAAATCTTTCATTTGTCTAAAATCCTATACGATCTTCGATCCACTTTCAATTTCCCGATTCATTAAATCATTCAAAATTTAGTTAAATCTTAAGCTGAAGAGATCCTTAATCTCTGATTTAATCATAATACATGATTACAAGCATCAACTTCTTGAAAATTTTGAAGAATCGGCTTACAATTATTCCCAACACTTTCCATCAGCATGTTCATCGCTTCCCATTTCTCAGCAAAACCTCATTTGATACTTTTCTCTTTAGGCCTGGCCCAGGTATGTTTAAAAAAATTAAAATCCTGCCGGTTTGGATACCCGGGTTGGGCAAAATTGAATAAAGAAATGGATTTTACATTTATATTTCAATTTTTAATCTAATAATTTTTTTTAAAAAAGTATTTGTATTGTTTGTTTTTTCATTATTTAAATAGTAAGCTAGCTCTCTTAAATTATTCAAATAAAAATAAGTAGTTATATTTCAAATATAAGTATACTTGCCAAACCCTAACTGCAGTAATAATAATAAAATTGAAAAATTATTTCTCCCCAAAAACGGTTTTGAACCCCTAAATAAATTTTGTTTTATTTAAATATAAAACAAATTGTATTGCTGTACTGAGTGCTGACTATACAATACAAGCAAATATTCATTGTTCTTTTCTATCGGTTCTATCTTCTTATCTATCTCCGGCTACACTTTACTTTATTCAATTTATTTCTACTACTTTCCCATTTTTCCTTACTTTGAAATTTTTTTTTTGAAGTTCCCAGAATTTTTTTATCGAGTTTATTGTTATTACTTTAAAAAAAATTAACAAACCTTTAATAAATAAAACAAAAAAAAGCTATTTATAAAATCATTAATTTTTTTTGTTATAAATAATAAATTTATATTTTTTTAAAAATATTATTTGTTTTTCTTTTCTTATGTTTATTTTTAGAAAGATATTTTTTTTTGGGATGCATATCAAAATAATTTATTTTTAAATCTTGTTTTTTCTTGACAAGGCTTCTATAAAAGAATTTAATTTAATTTAATTAAGCTAAATAAAATAAAAATATATAATTCCTACTGGTCTTTCTCAAAAATTTGAACTTTGATAACTTCTTCACAAGGTAAAAGAAAAATTTAAATTATCATTTTATAATCATTATACAAAAATAGAGTCACTATTTTAAAGATAGAAACCCAGAACGAATCAAACCCTTAAACCTTGAACGGAATCGTTTTTTGTACCCATGGTATAAAGTGACCACTTAAAAGCGGAATGATCAATAATCGTTTTTAGTGAGACGATTTATATATGGATTCTCAAATTGTTCATTATTGAAATTATTAAAGTAATAATTAATAAAGAATGATCTAGTATTGTTAAACGGTCCCATTTTGGCCGATAATTAAAAACGGTCCGATTAAGATATTAGCCAACATAATATTATGCAAGCCTCGAGATTTGGTAAATAGACGTTCAAACCTTTTTGATATCTTTGATCAAAATCTCCAGGCTTACCTAATATTATATTGGCTAAAATCTTAATCGGGCCGTTTAACAACACTAGAATGATCTTATTTTAAATAATTTTAAAACTGGATCAGCTGTTTTTTCCCACAACTTCGAATTGTTCGTCACAGCACATCAACCGAAAATCCGGGGCTATAAAAAAAAATCATTTATTTTTTCGAATATCTTCAAAATTTAGGCCTCGTTTATGGTAAGCGCGATGTCATATAAGCGATGCGTAATTCGTCGCCAAGCGATAGCATAGCTATATAAGTCATGATTGAAATTATGTATTTTGTAAATTCACATCGCGTGAATGATGTGGTATTTCGTGCTTACTAACAAGACATTAAGGCATCTAAAAATGTTTTTGTTTAAAATAATTAGTGGGTGTTTTTTTATTTAAAATTTTTTTTAAATGATTCATATGCGTGGATTTTCCAATGTTCTACGGGATTATGGAAGTCATTTCCTGGCTTTCGGTCCTCTTATTTAACATATTTTATTGATTTTTTATGAGTTAATATCAACTAGGATGAGCACAGAACAAATAAAATTTCATTATATTTCTCCAACATTATATCCATAATTTAAAATATTTCCAAAATTTCGTATTAGGGTAATATAATTTTTTTTTCAGTTAAAAGAATATATTAATCCCATCATTAACCCGAGATTTAAATATTGGCAACATGACTATGTTGAGTCAAATACTTCTGTCCAAATAGTTTTAAAATTTCTGATCCTTGGCCAAAATTAAAAAATTAATGTATATTTCCTTTTCTTACCAAAATTTTATCATCGCAACATTTATAAAAAAGCATTAATTCTTTCCATATTATAGTATAATCAAATTTGAAGTATTTCCCATTTTAAGAAACTACTAAATTTTATGTATTATGTGGTCATTAAATTCTTATTGTCGCATCGCACCACCCAAAAGCATTATCGATAAGGAGTGAAAAATTTTTTGTCCATTGCTCAAATTATACAGTTTTTAAACCGTATACTGATTGGTATATGATTTGAAGATATTTTATCCCCCCCCCCTTAGGGTTGGGATAAAATATTGTATTTTAATTTTTTTTAGAGACAAAAAATATTCATACTCATATTCATTCTTCAAATTCTTGTTTTATCTTGATAAAAAAATTGAAAGTGATACCAAAAAATATTTATTTCTATGATATATAATATTTCAATACCAAAAATTTTGGATGCCAAATTGTTGCTAAAATTAAATAAATATATTTCAAAATTATATTTTTGAATCAAATATCTTTATTTATTCCCCCATCAACAAATTAAAAGAGGAAAACACATATTTTTTAAATAATTTTAAAAAAAAATTTATATAAAAATCATAGAAAAAATAAGGAACGAAAGAAAGAGAAAACCCGAAAGAAAGTTCCTTTTGTTTTTAATTCAGGTTGTGTCTAGGTTCGTCTTAATTTTGATACTTAATGCTGTTTACCAAGATTAAACAGCTTTTGAACTAGGGCACCATATTTTGGTTTGTTTCAAGTATTTGCTGGGGGTAGATATAACATGGTGTAATATTGAACGAACCAAATTTTTATAGGATCGAGGTAACACCGATTTATTTATATTAAAAAATAATTATTTTTGAAGAGCGTTTCTGGCTTAATCGATGAGTGCGTTTATCTCAATCCGAAGGTTTTGAGTTTGAAGGATTATGGTTTTTTTTTCTGCAGCAAATTTGGTGGAATAGAGTATGATTTATAATAGATCGGACTCGACCACTTGATTCCATTAATTATAAAATAAATAGGTCTTATTACATTTTTTTAAAAATTGGTCATTATTTAGTAATTGCTATATGTTGACGATATTATATCAAACATTAACCATTTGGTGGCATGGTTATTTTTCATATTTTTTGTAGTCTTTCTAAAATATTTTTCCTTTTACTCGGCTATTTAGTAATAAGTCTAACAAGGGCTAGAGGTCTGCATTAGGCTGGTTTTTGGACCATAGGCCTGCCCACCCATTGTTTTAAAAGAATTTTCACCCGCCCGCCCAGCACACCCATAATTTTCAAAAAAAATCTGCCTACCCGCTCAGTCTAAAATTCCTTGCCCGCCCGCCCATTAGTCCAAAATTTTTTACCCGCCCACCCATTATTTATAAAAATTATTTAACCCAAGCTCCCTATATAAAATTTAATTATGGCCATTTCAATTTTTTAAGCATCTAATAAAAAAATTCAGCATTACACCTCTACAAATAGTTTTACAATTTAGGAAATTACTATATTAAGCATAAAAAAATATTCAATTTAAATTATGGATAATTTATTTGATCAAATAAAATATTTATGAAAAAATATAAATATAAAATTGATATTATATGTAATTATAATGCTAATAATGAATCGACATTTCCTGGATTCAAACACGTTCTTCTTTGTTCTAAAAACCTTCCAGCAATGCTAAATCCTCGTTCAGAAGAAACGCTAGTTGCAGGAATTGCAAATATTTTTCTTGCTAATCTTAGCTTTGGCAAATCTCTTTCTTGTCGTTTCCACCAAAGTAGTTTTAAATATTCAAAAAAGTTTATTTATTTTTAAAAAAAAGTTTTTGATACCAAAAAAGACATTTTAATTTTTATTATCCAAAAAAATTAACAAGAACAATTTTTTTAATTAATATTCACTTAAATGATTTAAGATTTTTTTAACCCGCCCTCCCATGTTTAAATTTCTTAACCTGCCCACCCACCCTCTCATAGTTTAAATAATTTTTTAACCCGCCCGCCTGCCCGTTCTTAGAATATTTTTTACCCACCCACCCGCTCGCCCACCTAGATTGGCCCGCGTGGGCCGACGGGCCGAAACCCCGCCCAATGCAGATCTCTAACAAGGGCATGGCCTCATTAATTTTTTGAATAAAATTATCAAAAATAAAATTAGTAAATATGATTAATGATTAATGATTTTCAAAGTTGTAAAGATACTTTTCAAATGTATAGAAATACAGATATATATTCTAAACATGTATCCACAAATACAATTTTCCCCAAATAATCGATGGTTCTAAAAGGCTTATTATGATTTCTTTCCCTTAACCATTTTTAGAAAAGCATATCAACCAATGTTTGTTACAAATTATTTTTTTTTGTGGGGCTAATGTGATCATTTTAATAAAGGAGGGATTTTATTGAAAATGGCTCAATACCAGTGATAATAAAATTATTTATTAAGTCTTTGGGTTATGCTTTGAGGTCTTTGCAAAAATATCGATGAATTTTTTTTGCTAATGAAGTGGACGACAAGTAGTTTAGTCCCACATTTTCTTTATTTGATTTATTTTCTTCTGTCTTTTTATTTTCATTAAAAGCATATAATGATTTCTCTTAAAATTATAAATAATATATTACTATTGTAAATATCTAGTATTTGCCTTCAAATGTTTTACAATCGTTGCATATTGAAGTAATTCTAACTGAAATTTGAGTATTTTTTGAAAGATGTGACAAGCATTTTATATATTTGAATCCGCTTATGCTAGGCTGTATATTTTTTCAACATCAATAGTAATATTTAATGTTATTCTCATTCATTGAGTAAATTTTTTTTTATTTAGTTTGTTTTTATAAAGAAATAAACTCGCCCATCATAATATTTACTGAATTGAGTTCAGATATTTTTTAATAAAAAAAAAGTTAAAAAAATTATATCAAGTATCTAAAAATATATACAGATACTTCTAACATGTATCATACCTACCATTTCTGTAAATAGATGCTTTAACAACCCAAGAGACCTGACTTATATATAGAAAAGGTCAAATGTTCCTCATCTTTACAGGCCGTAAGGACATAACCGATCTCAAAAGAAAAAACGGACTGCTTTTTTTAATACAATTTTCTTTAAGTTTTGAGATTCATTATTTTTCACACTTCTCGAAATTAGGAATTTGTGTCTATAATTAGTTTTAAAGAAGAATCAGATCCAAAAACCATTCCATCTTTTTTTTCACATTCAACCAAAATAAACCTCAAATTTACTATAAATTTAAAAGATCATCTAGAAGTTATGAAATTCAAACTTATTCGAACCTTTGTATGCAACGCCCCCCCCCCCTACTCCGATAAATGTATGAAAATAAACGATGGGATGAGATGTTTTTGACTTTACTAATATCGGTAATTTTAAATAGAAATCTCTTCTCAGGGGAAAGATATATTTTTTAAATATCGAATATGTTTGATACCTAATTTTTGAAAGCGGAATACCTGTGGAACCATGTTTTTTATTTTCACTCATAAGGGACCTGGAAAATTAAACCATGGCAAGATTTAAAATAAATTATTTAGATAAAGATGATTCATCAAATTGTATTTTTTGACTTTTGACTTGAATAATATTAAAAGGTTTCTTTTTATTTTATAATAATTTTATTATCAGATAAAAAAAATGTCTTTTATATGTATAAATAGTATTTTTTTCCAAAACAAATTCTTAAATATTAGTTGTCAAACTCTTTATGTAACATTTCAAGCGTGAAAAAAATTTTTTTTTTGCAAGATTTGAAAAAAAAACTTTTATATTATAATTTTCGCTATTGACATTGAATATTTTTTAAAAAAAAA